TCTTCTTAATGTGAGTGATGAAGTGGTGAAGTTTCATGGTGATATCTGTGAGTTCATGTTGTGACCCTATTCACCTGTAGAGTCTTCTTAATGTGAGTGATGAAGTGGTGAAGTTTCATGGTGATATCTATGAGTTCATGTTGTGACTATATTCACCTGTAGAGTCTTCTTAATGTGAGTGATGAAGTGGTGAAGTTTCATGGTGATATCTATGAGTTCATGTTGTGACTCTATTCACCTGTAGAGTCTTCTTAATGTGAGTGATGAAGTGGTGAAGTCTCATGGTGATATCTATGAGTTCATGTGTTCACCTGTAGAGTCTCTAAATGTCTGTAATGGAACTAAACGTCTCTTTAAAGGACGTTTTCTCTCAATGAGTTTGTTCTCAGACTCTGATCCATAAATCTCCACTTCAGCAGCTCTTACATACACCAAACTTCACTCGTTCATTCCTCTCTGTGTGCTGAAGGTTAACACAGATGGGTTTGTACACACAGCACTCAGAGACTCATTTATACACATTTTAGTACTAAAAACATGGAGATTCAATTAATTTTTTACGACTGTTGATAGTATTATCTGATTTATGGAGTGGTGCAAAGATATTTCCAAAATTCCCCCAGTAAAGACCTTCTAATGTTCAGATTTATGATCTGGAAATGTATGAAAATTAGCACATATTTAATAAGATAATGCCTCAATTACACATTTAAATATAAAATGTTTAGAAAAATTGTAATACAAAAAATAATTGCTTTCATGTAAGTTATCAACTGGGGAAGTTTCTAACAGATACATTTTTTTAGTGTCTCCCGTTAAGATAAGAAAATGAGAATAAAATGTGACAACAGAAGGAAAGAAATCAGGAACAAGAAGCTGTTAGAAGGAGATTTTCTCCGTCAGTCATTCGAGTGAAGGCTGCTCGTTTAAACACCTCGAGGGAGTCGCTCAGGATTGTCAAAGTGGAATAAAATCAGCCTGAGTGATGAATCTCAAGGCCAAAATGCTCCTTGAGGACGAATAAAAAATGTGAATTTTAAGCTCTTTAGCTTCATTTACTGCCTGAGAAAACAGCTGACACACTAATCACCTCGTCAATAAATCATCTGTTGAACTGCATCATACTTTATATCAGAAAAAGAAAGTCGTTCACTGTTCCAAACAATAGTTATTGAGTTTAGTCATCGCCTGATGTTTATCGGTTTGATGTATGTTTTGGTGATACTTTTTGATTTATTGTCTTAACGTTATCCTCTTTCTTGTGTTTGACTGTGAACACATTGAGAGACAATAATATAATCGATATTTCACACATTAATTCTTTGAGGGACATGAATATCCGTCCCAAATTTCTTGGCAATCTCTCCAATTATTGCAAAGACGTTTCACTCAAAACCACAACTGACAACCTCACGGTCAAAGTTAGCAGGTGTTATTGTCTGGGGAAGAAGTGGAAGCATTGACCTGCTGTTGGTGATAAAGGAAACATTAATAGGAGATCACCAAAGTCTTTAGAATTAATTCTCTGGGGGACATGAATATCTGTCAAAAGTGCTAAGCAATCGGTCCAATAGTTGCGAGATATTTCTGATATTTAAGTCTGGACTAAAGACTAAAGACCAACCAACAGCCATCCAGAGAGCCATCCAGAGAGCCACATGAGTATTCACTACCTCTTCTTCTTCTTCTTCTTCTTCTTCTTCTTCTCTCACTGTGTCCCTCTCCCACCAGCATGGCCTGGGGTTCCTTCACCTGCTGCATGGCTGCCTCTGTCACCACCCTCAACTCCTACACCAAGACGGTGATCGAGTTCAGACACAAGCGCAAGCTGTTTGAGCAGGGCCTGCGTGAGGAGCAGAATTACCTGGACCAGGAGGCCTTCCACTACTTCCAGGACCGCTCCCTCCAGTCCATCTCCAGCACCGTGGAGGTCTACCCGGGTCACGGCGGAGCCAGAGCCGGGCTCGTCGTCGGGGGCCCGGTTCCCGGTCCGGGTCCGGGTCCTGGCCCCGGGCGAGGAAAGATGAGAGGCACGTCGGCCTCCATAGACCTGGGGGAGAACACAGACTCGCTGGGGGAGGAGCAGTGCTGAGAATCCGTGAACGGTTTCTTCCACCGAACACGAAAGCACAGCAGCCCTTATTTTCTGTTTGAGGAAGATTATTAACTCATCGAGAAGAGACGGAGTCAATGAATTAACTAGACGGATATTTTCCTTATATATCAACTAAAAATCTATATAATGTGTGAAAAAACAGAAAGATCTGACTTTGAGACCTGGGAAAAAGATCCTTCGTGGACGGGAAGGTGTTCTCCAGCATAAGTCAAGGTGCTATGTGTAGTATTTCAACAGGGTTGTTATAAATTTAGATGCATTAAAAGTGGGCCAGAAGCGGCAATTACAAAATAAAAGGTTATTCAGAAGAGCAGCAACAAAAGTAGAGAGCCGTTAAATGTCAGTTACACAGGAATATCTACCGTAAGTTTTCTAACGTGAGCCTCCACAGAGAGGCGAAGTCTTGCCTCTTCCGGTGGACCACCATGGGACCTTATGTCGGGAAAAAATATGTACGAGTAGGGTCATTTTCTCATAGACTTCTATACAATCGGAGGAGTCGCCCCCTGCTGGACATTAGAGAGAATGTAAGTATTAAGACAGTTCTGCATTGACTTCACTCGGCAGAACCGGAGGTTACCGGCTGATTAAAAGAGTAGCTGGATAAAACACGTCAGGGAAGATAACGTTACATTAGGAACACCGCTAAGTTAGCTAGCGACATAGGCGAGGTAACGGCCATTTTAGTGTTGCTGACGTACATTGTGCGAGATGAGAGATGTAGTTCAATGATCGGTTTCACACTAAACTAACTGATGCTACGACAAACTGCGACTTTCTTGACGTGAAAAATTATCTTTTAAATTGACAAACATCGTAAGTGTAATTCATGGCACAACTGAAACAGGATCAAAAAAATATATTTGTCTCTCGCCGTTGACTACCGTAGATATTCTTGCAGAAATAAGGTCCCATGGGGGACACCGAAAGGGGCGGGACTTAGCCTCTCTATATAAGCTGTCAATCATAACAGACCAAGTGAGGCCCTGATCAGACAGCACGCTTTGCACAGCTTTTTTTGCAACCAACGAATAAGTGCTAACGTTAGCTTAACACAAACCATGAACTGTACGCTTCCTGAAAGTTAATAGTGCAGTTTAAATAACAGAAAACAGCTTATTGGAAATCTCAAGAACAGCATTAAATATAGCTTTTTGCGTTTGTTGAGATCATCCATCATCAACTCTCACGACATCAGGCGCTTTTTAGTAAAATCGAGACGTTGAGGGTGCTCGTGCAAAAACTGCCATAGCATGAAAACCCCTCCAAGTTAACGGAGTTCGTAAGGGTGCGCTCTGTAAAAGGAGGAAAAAGTTATATTTATGTCATAGATGTATTTTAGAGCAGCGCAGATTAAAACCAGAAAAGTTAGAAAGTTGACATTAGAAGACAGCGTGGGTGGAGATGCTGCAATGATGTGTTATGCATGATTTCTTTGAATGCTGACAAATTAATTGTTGTTTAACTTTGTTGTAAATCATGAAGTAGATGTAAAAATGGAGAGAAAACCACAGGAACACGTGTCACCTTTCAGGAAGAAAGAAAGGTGAGAGGACTTCTGCTCTCAGTAAACCAGTTATTTTTTCAAACCAGCATCTTGTGGCCATTAGAAGAACTGCAGCTTTTTACTGATGATTTATGCCTCGAGACAAAAACAAAATACTACACATAGCACTTTTAAACAGGTTGTACAAAGCCGAGCCCTATTTATGACGCTGAATGTGAAAACTAATGTTAAGAGTTATTATTAAAAGCTACATGTCCTGTTCATGTTTTCGACTGTGTTGATCCTGTTGGTGAAAACCGGAGAGTAACCACAAAAATGTTTCTTTTGTTCTTTAATATTTAATTTAAGAGTGAAAGCATAGATTAGTCTTGTTTCTCTGTTCTTCTAATACACTTTATGAGTGTAAGCGTGAATATTTGCCTCCATTTAATAACTGCTAATGATTTGTTCAACGCGAGTTTCGAAATATAATTGCAGTTGCAGATGCAGATGCACATAATGTGAGCGTTGTGGTGAAGGGGCTGTATCTCTATTACAACACACTGGGCCTCAGGAACAAATTCACTCCCAAGATGCCCTGTGGAGTCTAAACAAACACACATTTATATTCAGTGTTTTTCTCTTGGAGGTCTAACAAATGTGTTGAATGCATTTCCCTCCTCATAAAACATTTAAAGTACTTTTCAATCCTATTTTCTCTTGTTTTTGTGTCCAAGCGACTAATATGGACAACAGTTTTTTAAAACTGGTCCAGTGTTGAAGGAGAATACTGCAGCAGTACATGGACTGTGGTGCAATCACTCGGGGCAACTCACGGCCAATGTACGTTCAGTACGTCATGTGACTTGTTGCTTGTGGGAAACAGAGTGTAACAGCCACATATATGATTTTTGTTTAATGTGATATTCCTCCAAGCACTAGCTGGTGTTTTCAGACTGTCCTTTGCCATTTTAAGTTCATGCCAGTAATCACAGATGTTGCTGATTGGGAAAAGGAGCTGTGAGGCCGATGAGGAAGTATCTTAAAGCTGCATTCTCTCTAATGTCCAGCAGGGGGCGACTCCTCTGGTTGTATAGAAGTCTATGAGAA